TGTGCTTTCAAAACACAAATATTCAGCTATCTAAAACTTTCAAGAATCTTTATTTTTGATAAGATTTTCCAGTAAGTTCCTCAAAAAGTAAACAAACAACAATTGACATCAGCTATTCTCATTAAAAAGGGAATTTTACCCCTATCTTTGTTTGAATATATGCACACATCCTTTCATAATTTGAATAAGCACACAAATAATAAAAAGTAGATTAATTTCTTTTCCAATCCTGTAAAATCAACTGAATATATTTTCTGGATGTTTATAAGGTAGGATTCTTAATAAACAGTGATGGAAAAGTGTTAGATGCAGAAATTTTGCAAGACTCATAAACACAAGGCAGTCTCATTAAGTTCTGGCTCTCACAGGTTCTACTGCAGAAAGGTCTTGTTTTGCTCTTTGCCAGGATGGGAAACCTTTTTCTTCCATGGTTGTATATGCAGCATTCTACATACTAACAATCTGACGCAAAGAATGCCAACCCTCATCACTCTTTTGTTCAGTATAGTATGGTGAAAAATCCATAACTGGACTGAAGACCCAGGTACTGATCCCAGTTCTGTCACTAGATATGCAACAAGTCATTTCAATGGCTTGTGATTCTAGTTCCCTTCTTTGCAAATAAATGAAGTTAAATGATATAATCTCTAAAGGTTCCCTTCCTGAGGGCAAGTATCTAGCAGCCATGATGTAAGAACTAATTGGTCTTAAATTGGAGCTAGAATTGACCTTGTGTTGACCTTATGTTGACCTTGTGTTTAGGAGCCCAATGTGTAACCACTGCACAATCAGGGCACATCGCCAAAATAGCATATGCTAAATTTAAGCGAAAAATATTAAGCAGAGAAACCAATGAGAAACACAAGGGGGCTTTAAAATGTTCACGGAAAAAAATCCATTATGGTGTTTTTCCCAGGAGTGGTGATGGGTCTTTGTTTTTATTGTACACTAGGTGGTTTACATTTCAGATCAACAACTTTATATTCAACAATTTAAACCACTCATCAATCTTCCCCCAATAATTTACCCCTCACTTACTCCCTGATTTTTCTCCCTCTTGTGGACTCCTTATCCTTCTGGTCACCCAAGTTAATACCCGACAACAGTCTTGCCCATTGTTTTATTTCCCTTCCCTTACCACCCCCTAAATTCCCACCTCCTCACCCCCTCCCCACCCCATACCCACTCTAGCAAACTACAAAGTCCTTGTCTTTCTTCTCCCCTGTAACAGTGGTCTCATATAATATTTGTCCTTTTGTGACTGGCTAATTTCACTCAGCATAATGCTTTCAAGGTCTATCCATAACAAGGAGGTGCTTGTGGTTTCATCATTGTTTTATAGTGATACATAGCATTCCACTGTGTATGTAAAGTTTCTTTATCCCTTCTACTACTGATGTTGTTTCCATCTTCTTGCTACTGAAAACAATGCAATGATCATGGGTGGACCTACGTCTTACTTCTTAAAGTTATATCTTTCAATTCCAATTTTCCATAAACTTTCTAAAGGATTAGGGCTGCAAAGACCCCTCAACCATTTTCTATAGATATATGGAAGAGGAGATCCAGAAGCTGTGATGGAAAGGTATGTTGTAAGTACAAAAACCTGAAGTTAAATCCAAGGGCTACCGACAAGGGAACAGCAAGTGATTCAAAACCAGTGGCAAGGAGGGGGTGGGAGGACTGGTAGGGAGGGATCAAGGGCAATGTAACCGAGAGGAAGGCTGAGCATGGTAGTGGGACAAGAGGAAGCAAAAGGAAATAGAAGAAATAAGTAGGAGGCAAAGGGCATACATAGAGGCCTAAATACAGGCAAGAACATATGTAAATATATTTATATATGCTGACGGGTAAATAGATCTATGTGCATATATTTACAGGTTTAGTAGTAGGGTAGCAGATGGACATTGGGTCTCCACTCACATACTCGCTCAATACAAGAACACTTTGCTGACTAAATGGACATTCCATGATACCCACCTTCCCTACACGATGGCTGAAGACAAATGTGTACATAAGCAAACGTTGTGAAGAAAGCTGATAGTGCCCGGCTATCAAAATATATAGTGCCTGGGGTCTTAAAGGCTGGAAGGTAAAGTAGCAGCCATCTAGCTGAGAAGCAATAAAGGCCACATGGAAGAAGCACACCAGCCTGTGGGATCACAAGAGGTCGAAGGGACCAGGTATCAAGCAACAGAAAACAAAAAAATCATATCATCATGAATGAATGGGAGTGCGGGGTGGGGACCCAATACCCATCTGCAGGCAACTGGACATCCCTTTGTAGAGGGGTAGTGGAGAGGAGACAAGTCACTCAGGGTATAGGGTAGCATCGATGAAACACACAACTTTCCTCTGGTTTTTAAATGTTCCCCCCGCCCCCACTATCATGATCCCAATTCTATCTTACAAACCTGGTTAGACCAGAGGAAGTACAGCAGTGCAGATAGGAACTGGAAACACAGGGAATCCAGGACAGACGAACCCCTCAGGACCAGTGGTGAGAGTGGTGATACCAGGAGGGTGGAGGGATGGTGGGGTAGAAAGGGGTAACCAATTACAAGCATCTACATATAACCTCCTCCTGGGGGATGGACACCAGTAAAGTGGGTGAAGAGAGATGCCGGGCAGTGTAAGACATGACAAAATAATAATAATTTATAAATTATGAAGGGTTCATGAGGGACGGGGGAGCTGGGAGGGAGGGGGAAAATGAAAAATGAGGAACTGATTCCAAGAGGCCAAGCAGAAAGCAAATGTTTTGAGAACAATGAGGGCAACGAATGTAGGAATGTGCTTTACACGATTGACATATGTATGGCTTGTGATAAGAGTTGTCGGAACCCCCAATAAAATGATTAAAAATTAATAATTTTTTAAAAATCCAAGGTCTACCATTAATTATGAATATGTCCTCTTGGTTAAGTCCTAAACTTCTTTAAACCCGAATTTGTCAAAATAGGAAAATGGTGCAAGAAGCTATCAAAAAACTTCGTGGAAAAATTTCATTATATTTTAATTCTATTTTTCCACAATCTTTTTAAAGTCCCCTCATATATTCTTATTTTGAGAAGGTATTTAAACTTTTCCTGTAAGTTAAAAAAAATATCATTATACAAAGGGGCTACCTCACAGCAGTTAGGGCAAAAACCAAGAAATGAATCCTGCTATTGTATGCTTTCCACTCCACCAGTGGTTGTACTTCCTCTCTCCAGTCTAATCTTCCTCTCCTTTTGTTATATACTTTTACATTTAAAACCAAACTCACTGCCATTGTGTTAATTCCTATTCATAGCAACCCGAAATGACGGAAGATCTGCTCCTGTGGGTTTCTAAGGCTGACTGCAGTTAGCAGCCCCAAATGGTTAGGTAGCTAGAGGCAGAAACTAGGGGTTGTACCTCTACATGCTAAGGCCACCCTTTCCCCCTTTCCAGGAAGTTGGAAGCCAATAAGGCCTATAGAGGGCATACACAAATTCAGGCCTTTGAGACAGGAAGCCAGTACACTTGGGAGGGCCCCAATCTAGGCCAGGTGGGCTTAATTCTGCCAAAGGCATCAACTAGTACTGTCAATTATGCCTCCCAGCAGAGGGTCCTGAAACTCAGAATCAAGAACCCACCCCCCTCTCCTTTCCAGCTGCTCTTCCATGGTTCCACGCAGCTAGGCTGCGGTTCTCTTTTCCAGCTGCTCCTCAGTTGTGCTGTGGTTCCTGAGGCTTCGGCCTGAATTCTTTCTTGTGCAAAGCCTAGGACCGAGGCATTTCCCACCCGAGAAACCTAACATAACCATTACACCACCAGGGCTTCCTTTGGTTTGTTTTTTTTTCATACATAAGAGAGCTTCAAAAACTTTGTGGAAAAACGGAATAGAAAGATAATGAAAATTTCCACAATGTTTTGAAGCCCCGTTGTATATGGAAACACAATCTTGCTTTTAACTCTACCACTTCTATATGTCAATTTTGTTCTCAGAAAATTTCTATTTTTAGTAAGGTTTAAAAAGAATTATGGTGCTTAAACTAATTCACTTAGTTTAGTGATGAGTAGGTATTTGAGAGTAAATAAATGTCTGAATAGACATGACTAAGACTGAAAAGCCATTGGTAAACAAAGATAGGTATGATTTATTTATCTTTAAATCATCATTCTTTGAAATAATCTGAATGTTTACCTAACTTTTTCAATATGAATACATAACATGTAATATATAAAATTACATAATTAAATATGTGGTCAAATTTTCCTTGATTCTGAAATGCAAAAAAATGTCTAAACCAAAACCTAAGTACCAAATCCATGTCCATCAAGTTGATTCTGACTCAGAGCAGCCTCATATATTTGTAATAGTTACATAACCTCGTGTCAACTTTAGGATATTAAGAGTGAAGGGATGGAGTCAAGCCTATCAATCAAGTTACATCCTGATGATGCCTCCTGGTGGGCATGACGTTCTCGTGATGATTCTGGGAACTTCCTCTCTTTCTCCCTGGAGGAGGGCCAGACTCTCTCAGCTTTCACCTTCCTGTTGGCGAGCCAGGAGGCTGAGATCTGGCAGCGCTGTGCTACCACCACCACTGGACCCACAAGACTTTTGACCCAGCAGTCTGTGATCTTCCTGCACTGAACATCACTGCATGTGCTGAGTGAGCCTGAGAGGAATTTTTGGACTAGTATCGGACATATGGGCAAATATTGGACTAAAAGACTTGATCTAGACTAGGCTGGGATGCTTTCTCAATATACAATTGCTGTTTGCTATTAAGCTCTCTCTTACACACGTGTGTCCCTGGATTTGTTTCTCTAGTCTACCCAGACTAACACAATAGGGTCCCAAGGTTATAAATCTTTATGGGAACAGCCAGCCTCATCTTTCTCGCTTAGAGTAGCTGGTGAGTTTGAAGAACAGACCTTAGGGTTAACAGCCCAACTCCTAACCCATAGAGTCATCAAAATGGTCTAGCCAACTTCAAATAGCAAAGAAAGGAAATGCAAGTACTTACAATGCAAGTGTCACACAAAGGAACAAAGGGCCCCACAAATCCCCTGTAAGGCAAGAAAAGACAAGACTGCTAAGAAAAGAAAAAAAATCATATGGTGTTCTCTCCCTTTATAACAACATCTCCCTCTACCACTCTTGGAATTTGGATCAAGGTTCTGTCAATCCAAGTCAGTTTTCCTACTTCTCTTATCCCTCTATATCCCTCCCTACTCCTCAAATCAGAATATACTTCTATTGCTTTATATATTAGAGGTTTTGTTCACTTCACATGCCACAAATCACCCTTTTCCAGCAAGCTGTAAAGACCAATGGAAAAATAACTAAAGACTCAGGTGCCCTGCTTCTCACCACCAAGTGAAATTATAGTCAAGTGCTTCATCAATCTGAGACTGCATTTGACAAGGCAAGTGTGGCAGTTACATAATCTCCTGTCAACTTGAATGAAGGAGTGAAGTCTAGCCTGTCTTATCAGGCCATAGCCATTGAGGCCTCTGTGTGGGCAAGGCCTTCTCCTGAGGATTCTACAAACTCCTGCCTTCCTCCCTAGAGGCAGGAAACACACTCTCTCTGCTTCACATTTCTGTTGACAAGCCACAGGGAGCTATGTTGATGGCAGCCAAAGCCCTGGAGCTTGAGGAGCCATGTGGAGACCCACGCTAGCGCTGAGATGCTTCCTTCATAACTGGATCAAGTTTCCACAACATTGGCCTATGATATTCCTGCATTTGGCATCATTGCTATGTGCTGCGTGAGTCTGAAGAAGAATTTATACAAGGGTATTGGACATATGGGCTGAGTTAGTTAATTGTGCCAACCTGGCCGATAAATCACATGTGGGGCTAATTGAAAGGCGGAGGGATAAATGGGTGGTGAGCCTTGCCTTTCTAGTTCTCTGGTCTCTTGCTTTGTGATGGTCGCATCAGGGTGCAGCTGCCTTAGCAGTTCCCTGCTTCAGCTTGCAAGATTGACTTCCTACACGACATCCCCAAGGAGAAGCCACATAAACCTATCCCGATGCAGTCCTGGGTGCTGGAGCAGCTGTGTGGAGACCCCTGCCAGTGCTGAGATGCTTATTCGTTCACTGACTCAGCTTTCCTCCTGCAGTCGGCATCATTGCCTCTGTTTTGTGAGGTAGAGGACTTTGTGGACTGGTGTTGGGTAAATGAGTTAATGTTGGACTTGTGGGCTTGGGCAGCATTGGGTTGGGATGTTTTCGTGACGCACATTTTTTTTACATAAAACTCTCTTATACATGAGTTGCTGTGGATTTGTTTCTCCAAAGTACCCAGACTAATACATGGGCTAATATCAGACGTATGGACTTGATCTGGATTGGGCTGAGCTGTTTTCTTAACACACAATTCTCTGATTTAAAACTCTCTCACACACATATGAGTGTCTCTGGATTTGTTTCTCTAACTAACCTAGATGAACACATTCTGGTACCTTGGGAGTGGAGTACTAGAGAAACAAATCATAAAGATGGAGAGTAGATACTTGTTTGACCTCTGCCTCGTGGTAGTTCTTCTTTGGCTAGCCAGAGGTCAGCTATGACCATGCAGTTTACTGGGGTTTTTTCTGGAAAGAATAAGGGAAGTTAATGTTTTGATTATTTTGTTTATTTATTGTTTTTGGTTATTCCTGTTTGACATGGCGAAAAATGAAAGCAATTAATGTATATTTTGAGCTGAGGGGGCAAAGTCACCCCTTGAATTTCTCAGAGACTATGCTGCTTAGTGAAAACAGCTGACAGAAAGTCAAAATGGCCGACAGAAGGCCCTGGCTTGATGCAGAGGCCTAAGGTCATACTTTTTATCAATGGAATAATTTAGATAAGGATTAAGATATGATAAATAAGGATTGAACTTGACTGCTTTAAGAATTGAGTTTAGGGTCTGGCTGTAGTGGGCTTATACTGTTTTCTTTTCACTACTGTTATTGATATAATGATTGAAAGAAATGATTATTCGGAAATATAGAGCATTTATATGCTCACTGTTTCAGCCAACAATTTAAATCTTTAAATAAGTGCAGGACATGCCTGCAAAGAAGGCTCTGAAAAGCTAAGCCCCATCAGTGTCTTCAGTGCTCAGGACATTTGAAGGTGAAAAGACTTACCTAGAGAGCTGTTGACAGACTGAACAATGGAACCCTTTGGTTTTTTAATTTTGAACTAGTGGTTTGTGCCAGAAGGTAGAAAAAATTTGAAGCCATAAAGAAACTCTCCTCTCTAGGTCTGAACATTGAAGGGAGCCTGCAGGCAGCCTGAAATGCTTGCTTCGTGACCACCTGGATCCAGTTGTCTAGTGGAAGTAGGAGAAATGCAACAATAAAGAGTAGGTCAAGTTGGGCCACTGACACCCACAGACCTGGTTCACAGGGATTAGAGGAGAAGATGAGAACAGGTTGGCTTGTCTGAAGTTCATGACCTAGACCAAGGGGGCCAGGGTTGTTGAAAATTTGTAACGCTGTCCATGGTCTTAACACCCTGGTAGGGCTAAGTGAGGCAGCCCACAATGAGGTGACCAGAACATGACCAGATGAAGAGAAGATTTTTAAACCTGTGAATTGGTGCATATTGCTGCTGACTTTATGGACAGCCTGTCCTGATTTGACTTTGCTTCTAGATGCAGACTCACAAGGTTTCGACTGGAATGAAGATTCTTCATATCAAAGAATATGATTGTCTCCTCAGAGCACTGGGCAATATAGAAACTGGATACCCAACATGGGAGGATAAAAGCATGAAATTGCTGGCTTACAAACTTTCATAGGTGGGGGAATATGCTCACGGGATTATGGTGTAGGTGCTCACTTAACTGCAATTGCTAGGGATAGAATATTGTTGTTTTGTTCACTTATAGAACATCACGTTTAAATTAGGCTGGCACATATTGAATTGTATGCATTTTAGTTTTATCCTGTTAGGCACAGGTATGATTTTATTATTGTTTAAAAAATGGCTAAAGAGTTATGTAAAAGTGTCAAGTTGACAAGGGGTGGTCTGCAGCAGTTACATAATTTACTGTCAACTTGTACAAAGGGGTGGAGTCTAACCTGTTGATCAGGTCATAGCCAATGATGCCTTGGTGTGGGCATGGCCTTCTCCTGAGGATTTGGGGAATTCCTGTCTTCCTCCCTGGAAGCAAGACACACATTCTCTCTGCTTCACATTTCTGTTGACAAGCCACATGGAACTATGCTGATGGCAGTCAGAGCCCTGGAGCTGGAGGGACCATGTGGACACCCATGCCAGTGCTGAGATGCTTCCACCACCAATTGATCCACAAGACTTTCCACACACTGGCCTATGATCTTCCTGCATTCTGCATCATTGCATGTGTTGTGTGAATCTGAAGAGGAATGTATACACTGGTATTGGACATATGGGCTAATACTGGACTTAAGAACTTAATCTGGACTGGGCTGGGATGTTTTCTTAATATACAATTACTCTTTCATATAAGGCTCTCTCGTACACACACGAGTTTCCCTGTTTGTTTCTCTAGTCAACCTGGACTAACACAGCAAGCATTAGCATACTCATTTCATAAATATGAAAAAGTCAAGAGGGAAATTAGTAACTTGTCCAAGGTTATTAACAGTTCGGACTGGAGCTTGGACCTGAACATGTATGTTTTTTGACTCCTTAATGGGATGAGCTATTATTGATTTCAACTGTAAATTTAAATATTTTGACTTTCCCCTTGAAGCTGTGAAGCTCTTTTAACAAAGTGCCTATGTGTTAACAACTTTCAGAACAATTTCTCACACTATTATAACATTTTCCAGTTAAAGGTATACAATTTATACATATGAATGAGAAAAATATCTTAAGCAAAATCATTCACTCTTTGAAATTTTAGCTTTTTAATTTCTTTCAAAAGTTTCATGTATATATATGAAAGTAGAAAGAAACAAATCCCCCAAATCCTCATATACTCACAATCTCTCAAAAGAGTATTACTTTTCCTTGGGTACAAAACATGCATGAATTTTTTCCCAACAGCTTTTAAATCACGCATCTGAAAGATATAAACAACTTTTTTGTGTTGTAACAACCAAGGTTCCTAGGCACCCCTCCCCCGCCCCTTAACTAATTTTATTTTCTAAAATCTCATTGACTTTAATATCCTGGGAGCCTGTCATTGAATTTTGGAGCTACAATTCCAATTCAACTCCACTATACAGGCAGATCAGAGAAGAACACAAAACAAAACAAACCCACTCCCATCAAGTTAATTCTGACGCGTAACAGCCTACATAGGGTTTCAGTGGCTGTAAATCTTCACAACAGTATGATAGCCTCATCTTTCTCCCAAGGAGAAAACAGAGAGGTAGGCTATACTTTTTCTATTAAGTACTAACTAATATCAACATCTAATACTTCGCTGTATCTATTAGCTCTGTTTTGTTTTTGAAATGTTAAAGATATATAATAGCCCTATATGTTATAAACCCTAGTGGTGTAATGAGTTAAGCACTGAGCTGACAAGGTCAGCTGTCCAAATCCAAAAGTCTTCCCATGGGAGAGAGATGAAGCTGACTGCTCCCATAAAGATTTACAGCCTCAGAAACTCTGGAGCTGTTCTACTCTGTCCTACAGGGCTGCTATGAGTCAGAATCGACTTGAAAGTAAAAGGTAGGTGGTGGTGGTAATATGTTTAAAGAAATAAAATAACAATACTACAATAAGTTGCCCTGCAAAACATAGTATCTATAATTCAATCAGTACATGATGAGATGTCAGGGCCATTAGCCTGCTTCATAGCTAATCACAATCCTTATATCAAATAAATAATTTCCAATATTCTTAACTCAACTGGCAAATGAATCTGAGGAAAGATTAAAAAAAATAAGGATAGAGTAACAAACAAGATACTTTTCAAAACATAGTCAAGATCATTCTGTTCTTTTAATATATAAATCTCCCCATGTCATTATTCTTTGTAAGCATGATTTTTAATCACTATGCAGCATTGTTAACAGGCTTCTTAGCAAAGCCCTCCAGCCCCAGCCATTGATGAAGTGTTTAAATGGCCACATTCCCTGCAGGAAGGAAAGCTTCAGGCTGGCTGGCCCCTCCGTGTCCGAAAACATTCTGTGTACCCTCCAAACCCCCTCATCTGATCACCTCTCCAACACCTCTTCCTGCAGAACTATGGACCAGAGGTCCCAGGAGGGGGCCACAACAGCAAGGCCAGCCCCCACCACCAGAGTGAGCACTGACCCTGGACTCCAACCTAAGAAGTCTTAAGGAATAACTGGGGCCTCCACTCTGTAGTTGGCCCCATTCTCCTTTGTTGAAGAAATGCTGTGAGGATGGCAAGGGAAGGATTGAAGAATAGGACAAGAGGTATCTCAATGGTGTCCTGTAGGGTGACTTACTGTGGCTTTCTGAACTTTCTGCCTCTCTCACAATGTGGTCCTGTTTCCAAGGGCTGGGGTGAGTAGGCGAAGGGATGGGTGACGCTGAGGAGCAATGATAGTGGACAATGAAGTGGAGCCCAGTAGATTTGATTCAAGGGAGAGAAGGGTCATTGGCAGGGTGGGCTGAATGGCATTTCTAGCCTGATAGGAACTGGACATGCCCCCTTTCCCCACTGGAAGACTCAACCTGACCACAGGTTGTTGGGTGTGAGGAAAAGATGTTGGATGTGAGGCAAGGATGGAGACATTAGCAGAACTGCCCACAGGGCAGTCTCCCTTGAGCAGTTCTATGGAATTGCAGACACTTATGTCTGAACAAACTTGTGGTGGAGGGTTTTGGTGGTGTGAGTGTGTGTTGAGTGAGTGGAACAAACTTTCTTGGAAACTGCAGAAACTCAATGATGAGACTTCAAGAAATCTTTCATGGTTGGTAAAATGTGATACTCATCCCAAGTCTCTGCCGGCTACTGAGGTGGGTGGGATGGAACCCTGAACATAAACCATAATTTATGTAATCAATATCCCTTCTATTATTTCCCATTATATTGTTTCTGTCTTTCTCCTATTATAAAAAACGCTACAACAAACACTGTTATGTATTTATATTTCAGTATTTTTTTAATGTTCCGTCAGCAGAATTATTGGTTTAAAAAGATCCGAACATTTTAAAAGTTCCTAATACCCATTATAGCCAAACTGCTTTCCAAATTGATTGTACCACATTATTCTGATTAAAAATCCAAATAAATATAGTGCATTGAAAATTAGTGAACCAACACAAAAATACTATAAAGTGCTATTATTTATTCCCATGATACTGAACAGAAGGTCTCTCAGTTAAGTCAACTTACGATGGTGTTCTGAACTGATTCATTTAATGTGGAGCTGTCAAATTCCCGAATTCGAGATCTTATAGGGATGGTTATTTCTCCTTCTACGGGGATGTCTTGTGAAATGGAGATATCTGAAAGGCCTGCAAACTGAGAAGAGTTCAAAAAAACATTTTTTTTAAGTTTGTAATAAATATTCACCAAAGACATCATTTCCTGGACTGTACAGTCCATGCCTATTTGTTTTAGGGTTTTACTACCAGGGCTCCTATTTACTTAAAAGGAGATCGAATATAGAATATAATGGAAAAATAAACACCTATAAAATGAAGGCCAAAGACACTTTCTTGCCTTCAAATATTTGGTTTGTTTAAGTCAGAAATCTTCCAACAATGCTGACAAGCTGGTGAATTTGGAATAGTAACTGCAGAGACACATTACCTTTTTGCAATCATATCTCAGCACAGTCACCTTTCATGAGTCCTTCTCCTCCTAAGAGGAGCCCCGGTGGTGTAGTAGTTAACAGAAGAGGTGCCCCGAGTGGTGTAGTTGTTACACAATGGGCTGCTAGCCCCAAGGTCAGTAGTTCAAACCCACTCTGTAGAAGAAGAGGCTTTCTACTCCTATGAAGATATACAGTCTCAGAAACCCACAGAAGCAAGTCTAACCTGTTCTATAGAATCACTATGAGTTGGAATTGACTCAATGGCTGTGAGTTTTGAAGTCACACCTCCCCTCCCCCTCTACACACACACACACACACACACACACACACACACACACACACACACACCCCTCTTCACACACACAGTACCACAGGAATTAAGCACTCAGCTGTTAACTAAAAGGTCAGCAGTTAAAACCCATCAACTGCTCATCAGGAGAAAGA